AGGTTTACCTGGTTCAACCTCGAGAAGGTTACACAACCAGATGAAAAGTCATGTGGGATGTACATCATCAGGTGGATGAGACACTGGGAAGGTAAGTACAACAGTGCCCTGACCAAAGACTGGAAGAGGATTGATCTCATAAATAAAGAAAGGGAGTGCCTGATGTTGGACATCATTCTTGATGAAGAAAATCTTGAACGAGAAAGGATCATGAAAGAAGCAACAAAGTACTGCAACATGAAGAACAAGAAGAAAGATTTGAAAGAAAGGAGATGAAAATTCTATTATCGTTTGTATTAAGTAGTAGGAGGGTATAAGTAAGCTTTTGAGAACAAACTCACAATGTTCAGTAGCCACTTCATTTTAATTAGTAGGATGGTATGAAACAACTTATTATGATTTGTATTATGACTAAATGAAATGTTCTGTTTTTTATTATGTTAGCAAATACTTAAAATGTGTTCTTAATTCCCAAATTACCACATTTTACCACATGGTATGCAATGTAAAATCAGTTAACCACACAGAACTTCCAAATTACCACATTTTACCACATGCTATGGCATGGTAAAAATCAAATTACCACACTATACCATATGGTATAGCATGGTAAAATCAATTACCACACTATACCATATGGTATGGCATGGTAAAATCAAATTACCACATTTTACCACATGGTAATGCACTGTAAAATCAATTACCACACATGCCACTTCCAAAATACCATATTTTACCACATGGTATGGCATGGTAAAAATAAATTACAACACTATACCATATGGTATGGCATGGTAAAATCAAATTACCACACTATACCATATGGTATGGCATGGTAAAATCAATTATCACACAGAACCCTCACATTTAACTTCCAAATTACCACATTTTACCACATGGTAATTCACTGTAAAATCAATTACCACACATGCCACTTCCAAAATATCATATTTTACCACATGGTATGGCATGGTAAAAATAAATTACAACACTATACCATATGGTATGGCAAATGTAAACTCAATTATCACACAGAACTTCCAAACTACCACACTATACCACATGGTATGGCATGGTAAAATCAATTATAAAACAGAACCTTCACATTCAACTTCCAAAATAGCACATTTTACCACCTGGTTTGACATGATAAAATCAAATTACCACATTATACCACATGGTATGACATTGTAAAATTAATCCAACAAACCAAAAACCAATCCAAAAGAACAAAATAGCTTCAACAACTCAACCAGCATCAACCATTCATTCAAATAATCCTCTAAGAAAACTATTACAGCTTTAGCCTTAAACTTTCTTCAACAGCCTTCAAATTCTCCTCCTCAAGCCTGCTAGTTTTTCTCTTCTTCTTACTTACAGCCCTTGCAGCCTCCGCAACTGGAATTGGTCGTTTCGAAGGCTTGAATGAATCTTTTTTAGGCTTAAACCCCTTCACTTTTTGGACCGGTACATCATCTATACCAAGATAACAAAAACAAACTACAATCAATGACAGATATATATAAAATCATTCTCCTCAAAAAATTGCATATATCAAAACACAAAACTCTAAACAATTAAAAACTTACTGTCACCGTTAGAAGACGTGCTTGTTCCAGCAGGTTCAGTAATCGATAGGGCTTCACACTTTTTGATCAAATCAGTCATGAAGGCCATGGCTGATTTATACAAATCATCATCCAATGCAACCCTGCTGATCATTGATGCAGAAACAGCTGACAGATTGAAAAGACGAGAACGGTATTTCGATGGACTATCAGTAGACGGAACTTCAAAAGAAAAGTTCCCTCCAGTTTTCGCTGCCCTTGTCCGCCGCTTCAAAATTAAACTGCTAGGAATGTGCTGGAACTTCAGATTGCATGTTGTAGACCACAACATATCATATCCCTTAATTTGATGCTTACAGATCATACCACTTGACTCCCACTTACGGCAGGAACACTAGATTTCACCGTTTTCAAAATCAACCTTCAACACCCTACTATCCAACCTTGTAAGGTCATCCTCCAATATGAAGACATCAAACAGTCCTACATGTCCTTCTGGTTCTATCTCCGTATTGGAAAAAATATTATACGCAAGAGATTCCTTGTACTAATCCAGGAAAAACTTGAATATCTTCGGCGTATACACATTAGCAACTTGCTTCACAATAGGGCTAGTAGAAAACCGAGAATCAGCCAACCTAGATAAGGCATAGTACTCTTCTTGTTCTTCAGCATCCCTCTTATTATCAAGCATCCTCTCAAAGTGCACAAAGAACCTACTAACGCTAAACTTTGACTGCAAGTAATGTCGAATATTACTATTGCAGCACTCACTTAGCTTGGTACTCTTCATTCCCGCACCAAAATGACAATTCACCCAGGATGAAGACCACTTCGTCCTGACTTTGTAAATGCCCTGTAACCAACTGTGTACCAAAGGTCCCTTCCCAGGAAAACACTTCTCAATCATCTTCTTCCAATTATACTCAAAATCATCCTCATCATCAGCATTATACATCAAATAACTAAGCTCACGAAGGAAGTCAGAGTCACACAAACTTCCCAGATTAACAACTGCATTCTGAGCAATATGCCATGTACACAATCCATGAAAACAATCTGGGAATACAGACCTTATACCAGCAGCAATTGCAGCAGCCTGGTCAGTAAACATTGATTACGGTCTAACACCTCCCATGCATTTAAAAAACTGATCGAAAAGCCATTCAAATGTTGCCGTTGTTTCATCATATAGAAGAGCAGCCGCAAAGACAGTCAGTTGGTGATGATTGTTGAAACCAACAAACAAAGCTACAAAAACATAACAAAATGTGAGTAAAAACAATTATACCAACACATACCATGTGGTAAAAGGTACGAATAACAATAATACCAACTCATACCATGTGGTAAAGACTTCTAAGAACAAAAAAAAAACAATCCATACCAGACTACCATATAGTACACACTTCTAACAACGCAAAAACCACCACAAATAACCTTGTTATCAACCCATACCATATGGTAAAAGACTTTTAAGAACAAAAAACACAATGCATACCAGCCCATACCATATAGTACAAACTTCTAACAACCCAAAAACCACCTCAAATAACCTTGTTACCAACACATACCATATGGTAAAATACTTTTAAGAACAAAAAAGCAATCCATACCAACCCATACCATATGGTACAGACTTGTAAGAACAAAAAAAAACATGATACAGAATGATAATAATAATAATAATCATACAAACTAACAAAGACAATAATAAACAACAAACTAGAAAACATACCTAGTGGCCGATAGTCTTTGTTAGTCCGGTAAGTAGTATCAAAACTAATTGAATCACCAAAATAATGATAATCCATCATCATCTTCCCATCTGCCCAAAAAATACTAGCAATGTTCTCTTCAACATCAATCTCCACCTCATGAAAGAACCCAGGATCCAGCTGTGCTTGACGTCTAAAGTATTCAAGCAATGCAGTCGCATCACCATACTCCATTGATAACGTCCTAACCGTTCGCAGATGGTTCTTCAAATCATTCTTTGTGAACCCAACAAACTTCCGACCACCACCAGCCCTACTAATTGCATTATACGAAGAAGTCGCACCAATACCAGCAGCATCATTCACCTCTGCCAACATCTTATACACAGGAGCCATTCGTCTGCTGGATCTCACATAGTGACGCAGAGACTCAGGAATCATGTCATGGTTGTGCACATTATACCAACGATAGATCTTGTAGCATTTAAACTCTTTAAACCACCTCAGTCGTATATAAGCACCATTACATCCACCCCTGAGTTCTGGAACATTACGAACACGAACCGTCGTATCAACAACACCTGCATTATCAGGGTTATTCTCGCTACCTCTTTTCCAACCTTCCTTATTGCAACAATACTTGATATAATATACAGCTGAAGAACCACCATTGAGCTTCGGACACGCTGATTGGTTATAAATCCTCACACCAAAACCTTCATGATTCCCATAATCAGCATAAAAATTATATGCATCATCTGGTGTATTGAACTCTAAGTCCTTCCAAGAATCACGAACAGTAGGATCTATACCATTGAAACCTACAAACATTATGAAGCAACATATTAAATATGTACAAATATAATACCACCATGGTATGATATGGTAAAATGGATTCCACACCACAACAGTATGAAATCTCAATGTATACCAATAATTACAGCCATGATACAAGAGTTACCACCATGGTATGGCATGGTAAAATCAAATTACCACACTATACCATATGGTATGGCATGGTAAAATCAAACTACCACACTATACCACATGGTATGGCAAGGTAAAATCAAATTACCACACTATACCATATGGTATGGCATGGTAAAATCAAACTACCACACTATACCACATGGTATGGCATGGTAAAATCAATTTACCACACTATACCATATGGTATGGCATGGTAAAATCAATTATCACACAGAACCCTCACATTTAACTTCCTAATTACCACATTTTACCACATGGTAATGTACTGTAAAATCAATTACCACATGATAAGACATGGTAAAATCAAATTACCACACTATACCATATGGTATGGCATGGCACTATACCACATGGTATGGCATGGTAAAATCAATTTACCACACTATACCATATGGTATGGCATGGTAAAATCAATTATCACACAGAACCCTCACATTTAACTTCCTAATTACCACATTTTACCACATGGTAATGTACTGTAAAATCAATTACCACATGATAAGGCATGGTAAAATCAAATTACGACACTATACCAATGATTCCAAACATGGTACAAGTAATTACCACCATGGTATGGTATGGTAAAACTTAAATACAGAGCACAATAACATCACAACACAACACTATAGTATCACCTCTCATCGTATACCAGTAATTACCACCATGGTACCATATGGTATCTAACACATTCAAACTTCAATAAACAAACAAATTTGTATATCTTACCTCCTGATTCACCAGAGTTAGCTGAATGATCAAATCCAAGATCGATAGATGAAGAAGCAGTTCCAACAGCACTAGATGAAGAACCAGATCCTACAACGGTGGTTGAAGAACCAGATCTATCAATTGGAACAACATCGCCACAATTTACGTAACTCATCTCACCAGAATACTGCAAAAACACCAAAACACAAAGAACATAACACATGAACAAGCTCGATTAGCTAAACATAAACAAGCTCGACTAGCAGCGATGAAAAACCTCCAACGAAACCAGAGATCAACAGAAAACTCGATTAGCTAAACAGGAAGAATAAAAAAAAACTAATATCTAACCTCGTCGTCGATCAATTATGGAGAATCAGAAAAGATTCGCCGTCCCCTGTTTCTCAGCGGCTGCTCGCAGTTTCTCTCTACAAAAACCGAATCCAACTCGCACACACGTCGATCAATTATGGAGAATCATAAAGCTCGATTCGAAGTTGCTGCTCGCAGTTTCTATCGCCGTCGATCAATCATGGAGAATCGCCATCCTTGTTTCTCAGCTGCTGCTCCCCTGCTCGTAGTTTCTCTCTCCAAAATCCGAATCCAACTCGAGCACAGAAAGATTCGCAACGGACAAATGGGAAACTCATTAATTCAAATAACGGACAAAAATGCCCCTGACCATCCCGCTTCAATGACAACCACAAGATCAGTCCGGCCCAGATCGACGGTCCTAAGGTGGTTACTGACGGGTGAGTAATAAAGGGTTACTCACCCTATCCTAAGCCGTTGAAGTGGGCGTGGTGATCCCACGAACCTTTGAGACAAGGTTCTTTGAAGGAGTGAGGGATGTTACGAGATCGAGTCATCGTGACATTTCATGAATTACTGGGCTTGCGTATCTTTTCCTTATTAGTTCGTATGCGTCATTATTTGGGAAAATTAGTATTATTTATTATTAGTAGTTGTTCTAGTTGGTTAGGAGATGTGTTAGTTCTTGTTTAGTATTTAATTAATGTTTCTTGTAAGGGAAGAAAGGGAATTCTAGTAGGCAAAAGGATAAGGAGAGAGGCTAAAGCCTTGGGTGAGAAGGAAGGGGTTTGGTTGTGTAACTCTGTAAATAGAGGCATTGTCTATGAATAATAGTGTAAGAAGATTAGAACCCAATTTATGTTTATTTGCTTTAATTATTTCTTTCGTTCAGTTTAGTAGTTTCATAGTTATTTTGTGGTTGTTCTCGCCATTAAAGAGATCCTCTACTCAGGAGCGTCGAGCAACGTATCCAAAAGTCCGGAGAAGCAAAGATCCAGTACGTAGAATTCCGCCCCCACGGCGCATCTACGTAACATTTTCCCAATCCAGTAATCAATAATTTACCATCCCAATTATGCGTTTCACCTTCCCTTCCCATTTTGTGGTTCACCTTTACTTTCCATCCCAGCCGACGATGAATGGATGAAGTGAGTACAAAAAAACAAAGAGAATAGCTACTTAGATGTGTTGTAGTAGCAGTTGCAGTAGAAACAAAGTGAAGGATAGAGAGAGAAGGGAGAAGACGACAATGGTGGATGGGAGAGACACCAAGACAGAGAGACGAGGTTGTTGTTATACTCTAGATGGGGCAAATCGGATTTTACCCATCCAGCGCGGGGTAATGTTTGGGTCGAAAAGTGTTAATCGATAGCGAGGTACGAGGCAGGGCAGGGCAGGGCGGGTCACAGAGTTAAGCGGCTTTACTGTAGTGATTACCATCCCTATTCTATTGCCACTATTCTGGAACCAACTACCATCTTTAATTCCCATGCGAAATTTGACGAATCTGAAACCTAACCCAAGTAATAAATGGACGGCTCATTATGAACTGAATTTGATCACACCACATGACAAGGATTGGAGACTAATAGCCTCACAGACACAGTTATACGCTATTCAGCATATCTATAGTGATGCGAAATGCATTTATAAATTTGTCTCAATTAGATTAGAATTTAGTAGGTTTTGTTCTCCAAATCCGTGTTTGGGGACCCCTAAAAAAGTTAGGTTAGGCCAGCTTTAAGAAACGTGTATCATATCTTTGTCTTCACGTGTCCTTAATTACGGCACTAATATTTGCAATAAACTCAGACACTGGTCTTCCATCAAACAATTAAGTAATCAAGCTGGCCTCTGATTAATATATAAGCATTCAAAAGTAATCAGAAAGCAGACAGACAGTGGTCTCCCATTTGCACATAAAAAAAAAAGCTTCACAAAATCCAACATTTTGATTTCCCATTGATGTCGGTATACCAAAAGTAAAAGGGCAGGTCCCCCTCCAGGCCTCCACTGGATCCAAGAGCCTAATCCATTTAAATTCCTGCATCTTTCCATTCGGTACATACTTCCATAAACAAGGGCAAATTAGAAATGACAATTGGATAAAAACTAAAAAAGGTTATGTGTTCATTTGTATTCATTTGATCCGGTTTAATTATAATTTTGGTCTAAAGAAACAAAGAAAAGTATATAATTAGGGTTGTTCTCAATCACTGATGAAACTATAAGATAAAAGTACATATTTATAACTGAACTCTAAAATCCCAATCCCTCACTAATCCAATAAGAATTGGATAACTTACTCCTAAAAAAAACTACGTGCTTATTCCTAACCGTAACTAAAATTGACTCAACATTGATAATTACAACACAAATATCCCAAAAGATCCAAAAATCCAAATCCGATAATTAGTAAACAAGATAACAGAATAGTAACACGCATCACCTCTATATTGATAATAATTTAGGTTATCAACCCGCGGGTTGACCCACGGGTCGACCCAATTTGACCCTGACCCGGTGAGTTAAACGGGCCGCACGCACCCGCTGGGTCGACCGCTATAAGGTACCGGGTTGGAGGTCAAATTGTGTCATTTTTTTCTTTAGTTTGCGAAATGCGCCTATTTTCCAATTTTTCTTTTCACCTAACTCAATCTTTGGAATACTAAGTTGAACATTTGAATATTTATGTTATATAAGTGTGTGTGAATTTTCACTATATGTTGGATCTAAGTACGATATGTTATTTTGGTGTAATATTATATGTTATAACTCATATGTTAGATAAGATTTGATATAATTTATGAGGATAAGTACAATATAATGACTCTTTCTATATTCCCGGGCCAAACCGGGTTAAAATGGTTGACCCATTAACCCTTGACCCACTAGCTCGACCGGGTCCGGGTCAACCCGCGGGTTGACAACCAAATTTAGAATACTAAAACCAAAATAAAGTGTACTTGATCTAATCCGATTATTCCACCCTAAAACACAAATCCTATAATATCCAACCTCGTATGTTCTTCTTGATAAAGTCCATATAATTTTCTAGATCTTTCTCGTTTCATTCGTATCATCATATAGTGGCGGAACAATCTCTTTCTCAAAACTTTCTCGAAGCTGTTCATTTAGTGGCGGAACAATCTCTTTCATCGATAATTAGGTTGCACATAAACTATCTTGTATTAATTCTGTCAACTATCAATTTTGTATTTGAGTTATTTAGGCGTACCCTTCAACCTCATCTTGATTAAGACCCCCAATATGAGCCGAATCTTTACCCATGTTACTAAATGGTATCTGACCCAAAATTGAATATCTCCCAACAACTCGAGTTATTGAGATCAACTGGTTCTTGACATGATATCATAGCCTTCTATGACCAAACGATCTTCTATTCAAATCCTGATCCCCATATGTTTATGTTAAGCACACGGTGTCTCTGGAAACATCGTTTTTAATTTTCTTTTAAAAAGCACTCTCCTCTAAAAGGGGAAAAAGGGAAGGCACTGTGACAAAGTCACATTTCATCTTTCGCACCCAGTTCACATTAGCACCACTCGGCAAAACCCCACAAAATCCCCCCCTTAAAACCACGAACTTCCATCTTATTACTCATTGCTCTCTCCATTCACAATTTCTCTCCTTCCAGCCCAAACAAGCCAGCCATGACCAAACTCCTCCTCACTTCCCTACTCCTCCTCTGCGCCACCATTTCCACGGCGGCAGCACCAGCCAACCCGAGATCCAGCGCCGCCGCGGCGGCGGCGGCAGCCAGCTTCATAAAATCCTCCTGCAGCGCCACAACCTACCCGGCCCTCTGCGTGCAGTCCCTCCTCTCCTACGCGCCCACCATCCAGCGGAGCCCAAAGCAGCTGGCCCAGGCCGCCCTCGCCGTCAGCCTGTCCCGGGCCCAGTCCACGAGATCCTACGTCCGGGCCCTGGCCCGGTTCGAGGGGCTCAGGCCCAGGGAGAAGGCCGCGATCCGGGACTGCGTCGGGGAGATCGGCGACACCGTGGACCGGCTCGGCAAGTCGATCAGGGAGATGAAAGCCATGGGGGAGAAGAGGAGCGGGCCCCGGTTCGAGTGGCACTTCGGCAACGTGGCGACCTGGGTCAGCGCCGCGTTGACCGACGCGAATACTTGTGTTGACGGGTTCGCCGGGAAGGCGTTGAACGGGAGGATGAAGAGTGGGATCGAGGCCCGGTTCACGAATGCGGCCCAGTTTATTAGTAATGCTCTGGCTTTGGTGAACAAGTATGGCGGCGGTCACTGAAAAACGCGTGGCGGGTTTGGATCGATCGTCGGGTCGGTGCGAGGTTTTGGATCCGGTTTTTCCCTTGTGTTGTTAGTTTACTATCTCTAATACGTAACATAAACATGGAATTTTGGTGTAGGTTTTTGTGGTCGTTTCATGTATAAGATATGTACTCTGGTCTTGTGCTCTGTTTAATACAATGGTAGTTGAACATTTTCAGTGTGACAGCGAAGGTCTTTTTGACCTGTGGTCGGTAGAGAACCCAACGAAGCAAGTTCCTTCATCAGAGACACTTTTTTTTTTGGGGAACCCTAAATAAAAAATACTACATGTTTTGCTAATGAAGAATTAACGAGGGCCGTCCAATGGATCGTGCAGGTCATGTTTCAAAATTGAGATGTGGCCCATGTTGATTTTTAACTATAATAAAATTAAAATGATTATATCATAATTATTTGAAATGTAAAATCTTTCTAACGTTGTTTAAAATAAAGTTATTTGTTATGCCTTTAATTTTCGTATTCTCCATGGAATAATTTCGATTGTTATCTTGGTTATTCCATTAAAATGTTCTTGCATTATCTTTTTAATAGAGATAGGATATTCGAAACACAAATAATACTTTAACAATCAATATAAGTGTCTAGTGTATATATACATGAAAATATTAACCAATGGCTAACACTAATATTAATTAATTAATATAATTAAACTCAATATCATACTTATAATCAATTAATCATACACTACAAAATACAACCTACAATATACGATCGGGTTAACTAAAAGATCTAAGTGGAGTCCCCTAATAATCGGAGGCCCTCTGTCGGAGGGCCGCTTGGCACACCCTCTAGGCCGGGCCTGAGAATTAAAATAGTTGTAAATAAGTCGTGTCATGGACTAGTTGGTCTCAATAACCCAAAATTGTTTGAAAAATGGTTAATTATGAATCTTATATCACTCTCCAACATGTCTCTTAGATGAAAACCGTCAACCCATCACGGGCTTGAAATTTGCACAGGATAATCATATCATGTGCTTAGAAAAATCATTGATATTAGAAGTTGTTGTTGTGGAGATTTGAAGATACGACCACTTGGTCAAACCAGCTCAGATATCATCTCATAAACCGGCTGGCCCCCACAACTTCAGTTGTTGACAGACAGGAGGTTAATTATGATTTTATATCACTCTCTAACAACAAGTTCATGATGAGTTAATTACGTGAAAATCATAGTAGATATGATGGATTACGCAGCAAAGTTATAAAGTCGATTTCTTTGACATATTAAAGAGTCACATTTACTGATTATGATGAATATGCAACGAATACTTATATATGTTGAATGCAAGTAGTCGACATGTTGGATGGGCAACGAATTCGTCTCAAGTGTCTATAGGTTGGTCCCATTCCATTTTGGAATATGTTATTGTGGCGTTTGAATATTCCACTTTCAAAGTCTTTAATTAGTGGCTTTGGAAGCTTATTGAGATCATATTTTCCACCGTAGGCAATGAACCCGGAAATATGAGCGTTGAGTCATAGCGAGGTACGACTCTTTCCTCTTTCTCTCTCTTGATTCAAATTTCCCTGCTCTCTCTTTTTTTCCAGTCTCCCAGGGCTGCCGCCGGCACATCTTGGTGACCGGCGGTAGCCCAATCCTCTTTCTCTTTTTCACTTTCCGTTCGTGCCCCCGTCCTCTTCCTTTGTGATTTCTTGTCTTTCCTTGCCATCTTTGGCAATTTTCAGCCGTTGTGGCATTTTGCAGCCGTTGTGGCTTCTCTCGTTCCCTAAGTGGTTCTTTCCACATTCCTCTCGTTAGGAGAAGGATTTGTCAGGTTTCCTCAAGTGATCTTCTAGATCTGGTTGGCTCTGCTCTGTTCTGGGTTCAGAGGATGCAGATTGGGTTTCTATCCAAGCTTGGTGTGGTCATCTTCTCATCCTTAAGGGTGATTGCATTCACCGATTCCCCATCCGTCGTCGCTCCTTGATGCTTCGACTGACTGTAGTGGAAGCGGTGTCTCCTTCGATTGCTGAAGCGGGTGATCTTTGGTTGCTGTAGTTTTGAGATTCATACAGGGTTTCGGTTGTTTCAGTTTTTGTGTGTTGTTGGGAGTGTGTGTGTGGCTGGGGCTGCTTCTTTGGGTTCTGGGTTTGGGTTTGTTTTGGGGGTTCTCTGCTGGCGTTTGGTTTTGCAGGTGGCTTCTCTTCTCGATTCTGCTTTTGTGTGGTTGTCTTTCAACCCTTGGGTGAATCTCACACTACTTTGTCATGGCTCTCTCCGCTCCGGTCCCGTTGGCCTTGTTTTTCAGCTCTGAGCAGCCCGTTCACAGTCCTTTCCACCGCCGCGCAATCCCTATTCGGCGATTCACTGTGATGGGTGTCTTTGAACAACCCCCAGCAGGCGGCATATGATTTAGCAATGCCCTTTATCATGGTCAAGACTGGTTTTGGGTGAGCTGAAGCTGCTGTGTTCCACTCCGGTTGATGTGATTACAAAGTTTGCTGCTTCCTTTGTTTTGGCTCATGGAAGGATCCCCTTGTTGTTTATGTTCTTGTTGTGTTGCCTTCTGCCTTTTTGGCTTTTGCTTTCCTTGTTAGTGTTCTCTAGATGTTTGATGTTCTTTACTGTTTTGTTTGGATTTTCTTTCTTGTTTGGGGTTTTCTTTCTTGATGCTGGAGTTCAGGGGTTTTCCTCTTCTTTGTAACCGTGTTCTTTCCAAGTGAAATACAAGCAACATCTTTGTCAAAAAAAAGATAGCGAGGTACGAGGCAGGACAGGGCCGGGCGGGTCACAGAGTTAAGCGGCTTTACTGTAGTGATTACCATCCCTATTCTATTGCCACTATTCTGGAACCAACTACCATCTTTAATTCCCATGCGAAATTTGACGAATCTGAAACCTAACCCAAGTAATAAATGGACCGCTCATTATGAACTGAATTTGATCACACCACATGACAAGGATTGGAGACTAATAGCCTCACAGACACAGTTATACGCTATTCAGCATATCTATAGTGATGCGAAATGCATTTATAAATTTGTCTCAATTAGATTAGAATTTAGTAGGTTTTGTTCTCCAAATCCGTGTTTGGGGACCCCTAAAAAAGTTAGGTTAGGCCAGCTTTAAGAAACGTGTATCATATCTTTGTCTTCACGTGTCCTTGATTACGGCACTAATATTTGCAATAAACTCAGACACTGGTCTTCCATCAAACAATTAAGTAATCAAGCTGGCCTCTGATTAATATATAAGCATTCAAAAGTAATCAGAAAGCAGACAGACAGTGGTCTCCCATTTGCACATAAAAAAAAAAAGCTTCACAAAATCCAACATTTTGATTTCCCATTGATGTCGGTATACCAAAAGTAAAAGGGCAGGTCCCCCTCCACTGAATCCAAGAGCCTAATCCATTAAATTCCTGCATCTTTCCATTCGGTAGATACTTCCATAAACAAGGGCAAATTAGAAATGACAATTGGATAAAAACTAAAAAAGGTTATGTGTTCATTTGTATTCATTTGATCCGGTTTAATTATAAGGCAAAATACACTTGTATATCCATAACTTTCACGTTTGTGAGAAATATATCCGTAACTATCGAAATACATGAAATATCCAATTCCGTCCATTTTGTTAACAGCGTCATTTGATGGTATAACTAGACTAACAGTAGAAGCTGAGTTGGTGATTGATTTACCCCACCAAATGACGTGGATTGAAAGAAAAAAATAACAAAAATTAAAATACAAAAACAAAAAGAGAAAGAAAAAGAGACGGGACTAAACCCTTTTCTTCCCTTCCCCGCCGCTACTCCTCCCGGAAGAGCGACCTTCCATCTTCTTTGAATCTCCCCATCAATCTCTCTTCCAACCTCTGATCTACCCTTCTTCTTCTCTGCATCTCAGTCCCAACCTTCGATCTCCCCCCTTCTTCTTCTTCGAATCCCCCCGTCAATCTCTCTCCCAACCTTCAACCCGGATTCATAACTGTCAGTCAAGCACCCCAAAAACAGACTTCTGGTTCACGTACTCGAACACCGACCCAATCTGCATCACTAGCAGCACCACAATCGTGAGATTTCTGCAAGAAATTACAGGTCTTGGCGGAGGATTGAATTTCAATTTGGGTATTCTTTTCTGAAGATTACGGAGGCGATTGCAGTGATTGTGGAGGCGAGGAGATAAGCGAAGAAGGGGATCTTAAATTCTTACCCGTCGGTCGTCGCTTTGGCAGCTTCTCCCGTAGCCCACGGCGGCGGTTCGTCCGAATTGGGGTCTGCCCAAGACGGTATCGATGACGATGATGGTTCGTCCGGTTTCTTGCCCGAACTCGACCCGACCACAAACCTTATCCTCCTCGTCTTCTGTCTACGAGAGTTTAAAAAGCTATAATCGCCGGCATGTTTCTCCAACTCACCGCTTCCCGCAATGGGATTCGCCGATTTTCTCAGGCGCGCGGTTGGGAGGAAGTAGCAGCAGGAGGAGAAGACGCACGTGGATGCAGCCATTGCCGCTGATACTCGAAATTGATGTGGTGAAGAGCTTCCGCTGGCAGTTGTGGATCCAAATCTCTTTCGCCTAATAAGCTTCTTCTCAGTGGTAGCAGTTGGCAGGGGAAGAGCCAACTTCTTCTCAAAATCCCCAGAACTCGATTTCCCCCTTTCCTCCTTTTGTTTGATGTTGGAGCCAAGGGAGAGAGAAGAAATCAATGTGGCGAAGATAATTATTTTTATTTTTTATTTTTTGATGACATGGCGTCCACCTGTCAAATTTTGCTGACCTGGAGCTTAGGCGTGGCATGGGTATGGTCCTAGTCAGCGTTCCGTCACATTTACTGACGCCGTAACAAACGGCGTTAAAGTTTGTAACGAAAATGGATAGATTTGTCACACGATAGTACGCTTTTCTGGGTATTTCGTGTATTTCGATAGTTATGGATATATTTGTCACAAACGTGAAAGTTATGGATATAGAAGTGTATTTTACCTAATTATAATTTTGTTCTAGTTTT